CCGCCCCCCCCCCCCCCCCATTACACACACAACACGAATCAATCACGCATTGATTGATGCCGTTGAATGAGTATCCGTCCCTATCTGATAGGCTGATGCGATGGGTCTGGGCAAGACGGTGCAGACCATCGCCCTCTTCGCACACCTCTATGAGAAGAAGGTCAGTCAGCTGGGCTGCGCCAGGGACTGACTGGAGGATGACATGACACAGCCACTGCACTGCACTGCATTGCGTTTCAGAACGTCCGTGGTCCCCATTTGGTGGTCGCCCCGCTGTCGACCCTCCACTGCAACTGGGAAGCTGAGTTCAAAAGGTGAGAGTAGTAACCATGAACAAACAAGAAAACACACAGTCGGTGTCTGACTTATTTGGCTGCTGCGCTGCCTGCCGTTGTTCAGATGGGTGCCGACTCTCACGCACGTGTGCTACGAGGGAACCAAGTGAGGCAGGAAGGCACCACCGAACAGCAAACACACAAACACATATGGCTCCATGCTCCACCGTGTGTGTGTATGTGTGTGTCCCGATGGTTCAGGGAGGCCCGTGCGGCTTTGCGCAACAAGTACATGGCTGACCACCAGGACCCTGCCTTCCACGTGTGGCTGACGACGGACGCCTTCATTATCAAGGACAAGACCTACCTGCAGAAGCTGCAGTGGAACTATGTCGTGGTCGACGAGGCGCACCGACTCAAGAACCCCAAGAGCAAGCTCGTCCAGATACTCAACGCGTCATTCAGGGGACGACACAGACTCGCCCTCACTGGTAGGTACGGACAGAGAGAGAGACATAGCAGGGGCTGGGTACCTACTCTGCTGCTGTATGGTGTGGTGTGGTTGTGGTTGTGTGTGCAGGCACGCCGCTGCAGAACGACCTGCAGGAGGTGTGGGCGCTGCTCAACTTTCTCATGCCCACCATATTCGACTCATCTGACACTTTCCAAAACTGGTGAGGGAGTGAGGGAGTGAGTGAGTGAGTGGAGATGATATGAAGCCATCCCATCAGTCAATGCACTTCACTCGCATGGCATGTACGTGTGTGTGTGTGTATGTGTATGTGTGTGTCAGGTTCAACGCGCCCCTGAAGGGCAGCAGCGGCAGCGGCGAGACGGTGCTCGAGATGACCGAGGAGGAACAGCTCCTCATCATCGACAGGCTGCACAAGGTCAGTCAGATCAGACAGAGAGACAGGGAGGGAGGGGGAAGGCTCTCACATGACATCACAGAGACACTCCTCATTGTGTGTGTGCTTGTGCTTGTGCAGGTGTTGCGTCCCTTTCTGCTGCGTCGCGAGAAGAAGGAAGTGGAGGACGAAGTGCCTCAGAAGAGCGAAGAGGTGACTCAACCAAACACACAAACTGACTACCACGTCGAGTGAGTCGACCTGCCTGCCTGTATGTGCCGTCCGTGCCGCATGCACGTGTGTGTGTAGATCATCTGGTGCGAGTTGTCGGGCGTCCAGAGGAAGATGTACGCTGAGGTGGGTGGGCCATTCCATTACCAGCCACAAAGCCAGAGGGGGAGAGGAGGGGGAGAGGAAATGGCGTGCCGTGCCTCTGTCTGTGTGTGATGACATGTATCAGATTGAGAACAGCGAGGGAGGCCAGAACATCCACATGCAACTCCGGAAGGTCTGCAACCACCCCTACCTCTTCCTGCACCACCCGGATCTCACATGCCCAAGTATACACAACTACTACCACAACCACAACCACACACACACTACGGCTGGCTTGGCTTGGCTTGGCTCACACCGATCTCCGTGTGTGGGTATGTGTGTGGTGCACTGCCTGCAGTTGACGAGTCGTTGATTCGCGTGTGCGGGAAGTTTGAGGTGCTGGATCGCATCCTGCCGAAGCTCAAGAAGACTGGCCACCGGTGCCTGATCTTCTCCCAGATGACCCGGCTGCTGGACCTGCTCGAGGTCTTCCTCAGCATGCGCAACATGCTCTTCCTCAGACTCGACGGACACACCTCCTCCGAGGACAGACAAAAGAACCTCATCGAGTTCAACAAACCCGACTCAAAGTACTTACTTTAAGGATACCATCCCATACCATCACAGACAGACAGACAGACAGACAAACAGACATGTGCACTGGCTGGACTGCATGGCATGCTGTGCTGTGCAGGTACTTCTGCTTCATTCTGTCGACCAAGGCCGGCGGGCTGGGCGTCAACCTCCAGACGGCCGACACGGTCATCATCTTCGACAGCGACTGGAACCCACAAAACGACGAACAGGCGCAGTCAAGGTGAGTAGCTGCCCACACACATCCCCCCATCCCCCCATCCGCTCACGCCTCTACCTGTCCTTCTGTCTTCTGTCTGTGTGCCCACTGTTGGTTGATGCAGGGCCCATCGCATAGGCCAGAAGAAGGAGGTGCTGACATTGCGTCTGGTGACCCCCGGCACCATCGAGCAGCGCATCCTCGAGACGGCCGGCGTCAAGCTCGACCAGGACGCCGTCATCATCAAAGGGGGCATGTTCCACGACCAGCACGTCGGCAAAGAGGCGGAGCGAAAGGAGAAGTAAGCAGCCAGCCAACAGCACACAACACACTGGGAGGGAGAAGGCCAGGTAATAAGAGGCGCTCATGTGCCTTCTCTGCTGCTGTGTGTTGGGCGGGGTGCGTCTTTCAGGATACTGGAGGTGCTGCGTCACCGTGCGCGTACGTTGAAGCAGATGAGGGCCGAGGAGGAGGCACGCATCAACAGAACGCTCGCACGGTCCGACGAAGAGATTGAGATATTCGAGCAGCTCGACAGGAAACGAAAGGTAACCGGCCGACCGACCGGACCGCTCACTCACAAACCCCCCCGCACACAGCGGACCTCACCCATCTGTGTGAGTGTGAGTGTGTGTGTGTGTGTCAGGCGATGCACTTCGGTCCGCTGATCAGCGAGGAGGTCTTGCCCGAGGGCCTCTTCACCTACCAGCGGTTCGCACGCCTCTCCAAAGTCGAGGCCGTCGACAACGAAAAGGATGCACTCGAGAAATGGAAATTCGTAAGAACAAATCACACCAGCCACACACACACAACACGCCGCTGCTCGTTGTGTGATAGATATGCCTGTGTGTGTGTGTGTGTGTGTGTGTGCCAGGCGTACAGCGAGGGTGACGTGTGGAATGTCGGTCAGCGCGTCAAGAGGCGCAAGGTCACTGATGGGGACGTCAAGACGGCATACGAGGAGGAGGACCCCGCCGTGCTCAAGAAGAAACAGAAACAGCTCAACCAGGCCATCGTGGAGGTACGTACGCTGGCCGGCGGGCCGGCCGGCATTGGGCGTGATCGATAGCGGATGCAGGGGCGACAGACAAATGGTGCGTGTGTCTGTCTGCCTTTGTGCCTGTGTGTGGCTGGGCTGCAGGTGATTCAGGACAAGATAAGCCAGCCTGAGTTCCTCCAGTTCGTCGACCTGCCGTCCAGGAACCACACCGAATACTACAATGTAGGAGGAATGCATCCACGTGAACAGATGGACAGACAGACAGACCCACCCTCACCAGTTAGTTCATTCGTTCGTTCCCGTCTTCATTCGATGATGCATGTGTCTTGACATGCATGGCCTGGCAGGTGATCAAGAAGCCCGTGTGTCTGAACCACATCAAGAAGTTCGCCGAGGACGAGTCGTTCACGTCACTCAGGTATGTGAGTGATGCCGACGCACTCCCGAGTCCATCCATCCGCCCATCCATCCATCGATCCATCATGTGGATGTATGTGTCTTCTCTGCTGGCTGCAGTAAGGTGGAGAAGTATCTGGATCGGCTGGCTCGCAATGCGCGCGAGTTCAACGGCCGTGACAGCGGCCTCTTCCACCTGGTGAGTGACGAATCGATTAACAAATGCATGCACCCCAGGTTCCTTCCTGCTCGACATTCCCGCGTCGGTATGTGTCTGTCTCCTTCCTGTCAGGCGTGTCGATTGTGTGGGTCGGTGATGGTGGCCCTCCGCCGTCGGCTGCAGCGCTACCTCCCCACCGGACACCCATCTGGAGCTGAGTCACCACCCCGCAAGCCAGGCCTGCGGCCCGAGCAGGAGCTCCCCGAGGCCGCCCCCATGGTCGAGGCGCCCGAGAAGGTGCGCACCCCCACTGAAAGACACATGATGCGTTGGCTCGTGTGTCATGTGTGTGTTGTGTGTGCTGTGTGTCAATGGCTTTCAGGAGGGAGAGGGCGAGGATTACGGCGACCAGGAGGAGGACATGGAGGGGGAAGAGGACGAAGAGGAGGACGACAATGGCGAGAGCAGCAGCAGCTCCTCCTCAAGCAGCAGCTCCAGCAGCAGCGAGAGCGAGTCCGAAGAGGACCGCCGCTCCAAGGGCAAGAAGCGCAAGCGAAACGGCAAACTGAAAGAGGAGGAGCCAGCTGCAGCTGCAGCGGCCTCTGCAGCCCCCCCTATCCACCACACCACCCACCCCCCCTCGAGTTCCCTCCCCCTGAGCCTCCACCGTCAGCAGCAGCAGGCGGCCATCGAGCGACACCCACTCAACACATCCCCCCAGAGCCCCTCCCACCACCCACCACCCGCAGAGGCTATGGCCGCGGCGGCCAAGATGGCGACTGAAGAGGAGGAGAACCAAGGGGAGGCAGCGGCCGATGGTAATGGTGGTGGGGATGAGCAGGACGAGGAGGATGACTTGGAGGGCATGTTCGATGACGATGAAGATGAGAAAGGAGGCGACGCCGTGGCTGGCTTGTTCCTTGACGAGCAGGATGACAATATGAGCGACTGACTCACTGACTGACTGACTGATGAGAGAGGCCGCGCCGGAAGAGTGTTGGTAGATCAACTGAGAGAGTGATGTATGTTGTGCGGAGGGCGGCAGCATTTTCGGCCGTACACACCAGTGGTTGCATACCCATGCAGACAGACAGACACAGACGCTTTATCGATTCGTGAGCTCCACACGTGAAATAATCTCACTCGTTATTCCATCCAGACAGCAACCAACGTACACAAATGACGGACTGACATGCACAGGTCCGAGCCAGCAAGCTGTCCATGCAGCAAGGAAGACAGTCACATCCTGCCCAACTAAACTAGTATACACCGACTGCGCAGACCAGACTGGCGGCAAGGCAATGTACTGATACATCTAGACAGACCGAAACCATCCCTCAGTGCTTCTTGAGCTTCTTCCAGTGGAGGTAGCCGACTATCAGAGTGCCAGTCAGACATAACTGAACACACACGCACACACCACAAAACCAGCACACTCAGCAATCGATGGGCCAGGCCATGACGCGTAACGGCGAGTGCAGTGCAGTGCAGTGCAGTGCAGTGCACCAGTGCTGTTCCCGTACCAGTAGGGTAACTCCACAGCCGATGATAATGGCCTTGTCGATGGCCGGAGGTTCTCTCATGGCACCAAGGTGCTTTATCAGCATGTCGACGCCTTGCGGGCCGTAGGCCACGACAGTCACCTCGTCCTTGGTGATGTCCCGCCAGCCCTCGCCTGCCTTGTAGCCGACCAGAGGAAATGCAAAGTCCTGAGGCAGGCAGATAGATGCATGCTCAGCGAATGAATGACTGGTCTCGTGACTGGTCTGCAGTGCACACTGCTACCTCGTTTGTGAAGCCTTGTTTGTAGTAGGCGTCGCTCATCCTTATCATCTGTGGCAGACCCAGCGTCGGCTCGTCTGAGCTGCAGACCACCACCATTGCCCTCCCTCCCCTGGCTTGGCGGATGACCTGCACCATCTGCTTGCCCACCGCCTCTGCATTGCCGCCCTTGCCAACCTCCCAGGCGACGAAATAGGTCCCCTTTGAGGTCACAGACATGGTGTATTATCCGCACGGACGACTTGCTCTAGCCCGATTATGCGAGCTAGACCAAACCCTAAACCCTAAACCCTTGCGAGCTACGGAGTAACGGCAAGTCCTTCCCTCCTGCGCGTGTCCAGACCACCTGGGGTGTATGTTGTTTCCTCTTCTCGATACTGAACGCGTCAGCGCGGTCAAGGCCGAGAGGGCGAGGAGAACAGATCAGCTTCCTCCCAGAAGATGCCGAGCAAGAACACGAGCAAGACCAAGAGCAAGAAGCCAAGAGGAGGCCAGAAGGCTCCCCCTCCTCCAGCTGTGGCGGTTGTCAAGACCGCGCACGAGCGAGAGCCACCAGTGAGGCGACAAAGCTCCAGAAGGCTCAAGAAGGACGAAGAAGGTCAGTCCGAAGACTCTGAGGAGCATAGCGAGTCATGTTTGCAGGCCTCTTGCGTGTGGTGTGTGTGTGTGTGTGTGTGTGTCTGTGTCATCAGAGCTTAACCTTGATGTTGCGGCGGGGGAGTTGCTATCCTCTCTCCCCTCCGCGGAGCACATCAGCTGGGAGCTGTCGATGCCCCAGTGGGTGGTCAAGCTGCCCACGCGGACGGTGTCCACCCCCCGCTCCAACCCAGGCACCTCCATCGCTTTTATCGTCGCGGCGGGCTCCCTCGAGAGTCTGAAGACACAGCTACAGGAGGCAGTGGCAGCCAGGGACAACTATTGGCCAACCAAGGCACCGCAACCACCGGAGGAGCCGGCGGTCACCGAGGTGCCGCCAACCGCCGAGGAGGCGACACCACCACCACCAGCCGCCCCTGACAACGGCCGGGCCAGAGGCGCGAAGCGCAAGGCCCGCAACAACACCGACAATGCGGCAGCGATGAGAGGTCGCATCTCTCCACGGCGGACACGCAAGAGTGCCAGTGGTGGATCTGCAACCTCACTGCCTCCAGCTGCCCCAGCTGACCATCCTGACGCTGACCCGCCCGTCCCCCCTCCCCCTGCCAGTCCCCCCTCTCACTCTCCCCC